GCTACTCTCCTAAAAAATGAACCAAAATATATAAACTGAAGTGGCCTGTACCACTACCAAGAACTGCACAGGTGCGGAGGGTACCTTGGAAATGCAGTAGACTAATCTTGTTGCTTAGGAGCAAACAGAAATAAAGAGGACAGTGTTTGTACATGATCCTTTCTCATGAGAACCGCTTTAGGAAAACACCAACCAGACTCCTTGAGAAATAGTCCTCCAAGAATGTGAACTTTTCTACTAGGAAATGAGCAGTTTTCAGCTCTTCTTAAAAGGGTCTATTCAAATGAATGCTGAGGTCTGCACTCATCAGTTGTGGAGTGCCTGCTCTCAGCTCAGAAAAACTCGGTCTGGATTAAGAGGTCTCATATTGAACAAAAAGTTTTCATTGTCAGTGTGTGTTGTGTACACACATCAGCTCCTCCAGGACTGTATAGAAAGAGTTTTCTAACATAATCCTTTCAGGGATATTCAGGTAGAGATGTTTGCCTGTTACCATCACCACTGGGTCTTATGTTGCACTGAGCAGGTGGTACTAGTGACAAAGAAAGCATAAGGCTCCCAACTGGTCACACTGAGGCCAGATCCAGGAGAGGGTGAGGCAATGGGGCAGAGCAACAGAAGGAGAAAACCTCCAGTCGGCAGAGGGTTTGGGGTGATTTTGGCCACACCTGCCCTTCACACTGGGGAGGGTATCACATTTGTTATGGGATTAACAGGTGTGCTCAGGAGCCTGAAGAGTGTGGGTCTCATGAAAGAAAAAACTGCAGTTGGCTTGTGTTGTGTGGCTCCTATCCAGGGACTTTAAGGTAAGGATGTGACTCCCATCAAAGGGAGAAAATATGTATGCCTCACTCTTCTTGTCGTGTAAATGGATAGGTCTGTGTGCTGTGTGGATAGGCCATGAGGATTAACCCAGGGCTCCTGCAGCACTTCCTACAGAAATGTCTATAAGGAATAAGTAATTGGACTGCTGGTAATGGCAGAGGATCACCTAATGACTCTTCCTTAGCACAAGTGTACTCTAGTGCTCTGGTGCCTAGAAAAGTGGGGAAGACAAGCTGTGTTGGTGGGGATTATGGTGTCATCATAAGCGGTCACATAGTAGATGCTCAACTAAAAGCAGTAAATTGGTTTTGTTATGACAAAATTCACTTCCTTCCTGAAAAGAGATTTTTAGCATATGAGAAAGGTGTAGAAATTCTCCACTCTTTGCAAGTGCCAGCCTACTACGTGACAGATGCTTCAGATAACAGAATCACTCTCATTTCTATATTATTCTAAAAATATTAGCAGGTGGGTTTCTTCTACTTCAATAGCTAGCACTTCCTTATTCTTTCATTCACAATAACCTGCGATCTTAGCAGGCTGAGAATTTTCTCCTGTCTTTGGATCCATGGCCAGTCTGCTAACCTGTGAGCTGTTCCTACGACGCACATGACTGTCCTTGTCTGAGCATCAGGACTAGCACCATTTGGTGCACTGCAAACCAGGACTTCCTTCTTGGATGGGATTAGACCAGAGACTGGAAAAAGGTGATTTCTAATTTTTATTTTAAGATAAACAAAGAAGCTTTTGTCACCTACTCAGGCAACTTCAGGATTTAGAGGAATTCTGCTGAAGCAGATGTTTTTCTTTCCTCTACTATGGTAAGCATGGTCCTGCCTTGCCTATAGGTTCGCAGGGAACTTCGGGTTTTGACCACTTACATAAGCTCATGTTCTACACATTTTTTTCTGTGGACCTTTCCTAGTAACTCATTCCATTAAAATCCTACAGAAATGTCAAGACAGTCTCAAAAAGTATTGTAATTTACCTGCCAAGACAAGGATTAGATTATGCTGCCTGTTAAACTAATTATCACCATTTTGGGAATCCTTGAGTGTGTTAATTTGCTTCTCAGGTACATAACACAAGGTCTAAACATCACAGTCTAAAGTTAACTTTTATGTCAGAAAAGGCTGTTGCTACTGGAGCCGTTCCAGGGTGAGCAAAGGGACAGGCAGGGCCTTCTACATGACGTGGCTGAGGGCAGGTGATTGTGGTCAGTTCCTCAAGGAGTACGGTGCACCCATCGCTTGATCATTTTTACATTTTTAATTCTGCCCTGGGTTCAGTGCCTTGGACACAGGGTCCTTCTACATACTGGGAGTTATTTTCTGAGTATAGAAGTAAATTCCTAAAGGCAGCTGGGTTCAGGTCCAGAGGAGTGGGGACAGGGTGGTCTCCAGATGACCTCACACTAAGACAGTCCTGGCCTTGACATTTACTACACATGGGTCCTAAGAGGTTTACAAGCCCGGTCGTAAAGGTTGTTCATATACAAAATATCTTTGACACACATTCTTTGTTGTAGGATCAATGGAATGTAAGAAATATATTAAACCACCCAGCAGATTTTCTGACATATATTCAGTAATTGGTAATAAGCAGATGGTTTTGCTATCTGGGTTTAACCTAAACCCAGACACTCTCACTGATTTTTTGCAACGTTTATGTTTCCCAAGGAAGTTTCAGGTCATTAGGAAGCTAAATAGAAAACCCAGCAAAAATGCTACTCAGTAAATGTGTCCCTATTATATTCTTTATAATAGTAGGTATCACTTGTTTATATAAAGGAGAGTCTGCCCCTACTGGGACCAACTAGTTCATGGTCCCCCTCCCTGCCTATTTGTCCGCCAATGGGAACAGTTCTTTTTTATCAAATCACCTTCATCAAACTCTAGCCTTGGGACACACAAGGCCTCTGTGACAATGAGACCTAAAACCTTGGTCATTCTGGTGACAAGGCCAGCTCAGCACAGATGCAGGTCCAAGAAACTTCAAGCAAGACTACATGTGCTGACAACACTAGCATTAACTTCCTTCTTAAAGAAATAATCGAAGACTCACCCACTCTGAGTCCTGGTATAAGACAGGGAAAACACTCAAAAGTGTCTGTGGAGGCATGCTTCAGTGCCTCAAACACAGAGGAAAGTGTCTGAGCTTCGGGTAATAGTAAAACCAGCTGCTTATCACAAATTATTCAATATATGTCAGAAATTCTGCTGTATGAGGGGCTGGGGATTTAGCTCAGTGGCACAGTGCCTGCCTGGCAAGCACAAGGTCATGAGTTCGATTCCCAGTAACAGAAAAAAAAAAAAAGAAATTCTGCTGTATGTTTTAATATATTTCTTACATTCCAGTGGTCCTACATCCAAGAATGTATTTCAAACCTATTTTGTAGATGATCACTGGGATAATTGTCCAGTGCAACTGGCCAGATCTTCCTGTCCATCTTGTATGAGTGTTGAGGCAAAGTGGACTCAGGAGCAGAAATTGTCCCCAGGAAAGCAGTCAACAGGGCACTGCAAGAACCTGGAAAGTAGACAATCCCCAAAAACAGTCCCAGAAATCTTGGTTACATTTCTATTATTATGAAATGCAGTCGTGGTGGGCTTCTAGAGTTTGTTATGAGACAAAATACCCAATGCTCAAAATGGAAGGAAAGGTTTCTTTAGTTCACAGTTTGTGGAAGATTCAGCCCATACTCCACTGGCTCCAAAACAGGGTGGCATGCCTAAGGGGCAAACATGCATGGTGGCAGCAGACAGCAAAAGCAACAAGAGCAAAGGAGGAGGAACAGAAGCAAGCCTCTTTCCCTCCTTCATACGGGTATGCAGGCTACCCACTCCAGGGCTGGTGTAGCAGTCACACCCATAATCCCAGCTTTGGGCTATGAATCAATCACAAACTCTAGAAGCCCACCACGACTGCATGAAGCTTTGTGAGGAGAGTTAGACACAAACCATAACAACAGAGTCCCTGGCCAGGAACTTTAGGGCCTCACTTCACCTGAGAGTCACCCTTATCTCTCAGGAAAACTTCGCAGCAGCTGAGGATAAGTCCCCTCGTTTGTGTCCTGCATAGGATCACATTTCTCACAGTCATAAATAGTGTTCCAGGTGAAGTTTCTTCTCAACTTATCCATAATCTAAAAGTGTTGCTCAGAGCAGTCTTCCATCCCGTCAGGCTTTTGTCTCATCCGAGGGTCTGCAACTGGCCACCTCTTGGCTGCATTAAATCATCTCCTGCAGAAGGAGCTGCAGTTAGCCCAACCCTCAAATTCCCATGGCTCAGCCCTCACCCATGGCTGCTCTCTGCTAGACTCCACCCTCTCAGTGCTGATTTTTATGCTCCTTAGTTTCTTGAGGCCATCCCCCTGTCTTTCAACACTGGCAGCACTCCTACACTCCACCATCCCGTCAGGTAGTTGTAACCCTGCTCAGTCTGGTGTGCTCATATCTCCACCACAAACACACGGCCTGCCAAAGGACACACGTGCAACAGAGGTTTGGGGTCAATGTGCCAGTGAGCACATGCGTTTATTCACTGACAATAAATTTCCTTAATAAAATTGAAGAAAACAAACATGTTCAGGTATACAGTAAATATATTTTAATAGTATAGCTCAATAGTGGAAAAGAAATAAGAACACTAGAATTTTTATTCTTACACCTGTCTCTACGCTCAATCTAACTTGATGCAAACTTATGCATTTCCAAGGAAATTCCTTTTACACTAGTATTTTCATAAATAAATTGAATGGTTTGCTTATTTGCTTGTCAAAACAGGAAAGACTCTCGCACTTGAAATGGAAAAGCAAAATCCATTTTTCATCAATATCAGAAAAAAATGGCATGTACATCAGAAAACATTGACATTACAAAACTACAAATATATGTGAGATCAATATACTTCTTCTGATAAGATGTGTAAGCTATTTTAATCTCTCAAGAAAGGAATAAGACTTAAAAAACTCACAATGAAAACACATGCCCGTTTCCTAGTAACCCAAACAGAACAAATATCAAGATGGCATGCACAGTATTTTATCCCTAGCCCTGGACCTTCTTTACTTAGAAAACTTCCTGCTTCGTAGAAACATGACTGAGAATGGGCCTCATTTCACATGGGGTGGGAACTAAGCCAGTGAAGTGGTTGTGGAACACGTCCAGTCCCCGTCATGCATCTTGCTCTTCAGGGGCCCTGAGTGTACCTTTTTCTTCTTTCAGAGCTTCTGCATATAGATGTGGGTAAGACCTTGGATCCATCTTGTTAAGCTTGGCCATACGTTCTAGGATTTTCATCTGGGTGGTTTCAGCATGGGCTCTTGAACCCCACAGGAACTCATAGCGAGCAGGATCACTGTCAGGAACCTGCTGGTTCACCAGGTACTCTTCCCGGACCAAATCCTCAGTAATAAATTTCCAAGGATCTCCAATAACAATCTGCTCCATCTTAGCTAAGGTCTCCCATCTTTTCACTTGTTTCCTTAGCTCCTCCTCACTGATTCGGTTGCCTTTTATGAATATTACACTCAGGATGAGTATCAAGAGGTCAACTTTGGCAATGACCTGTTTATCTTCATCATCCAGTATTCCCTTGTAAGTGAGGCCCATGACTGGGACAAGCTCATATGTGTGGCCAGGAGGATCCACTTCACTCATATCCATGCCTAAGCCCACACACATGCACTCACAGAATTCCCTAAATATCAGAGGGAAATGCTCACGGTAATCTTCATCTACAATGTGCAGTATTTCTTCCATGGTGATCCGTTCCTTCTTTTGATACTTGCAAAACAGTAAGGGCACCAAGTTATGTATCTTTTCATTTAGGAGCATACTGCGCAGGATCTGAGGGATGTTCATGTCCTGCGAGGGGCTTGGACCCTCTGCTTCTTGCCTGCTAGAGCTCTCACTACATTCACTGCTGGAGCCCTCACTGGATTCACTGCTGGAGCCCTCACTGGATTCACTGCTGCAGCTCTCACTGGATTCATTGCATTGACTGGAATCCTTGGACATGGGAGGAGGAGAATAGATGGTCTCAGAATTCTGAGGACAACTTGGTGTCTCAGGCCCAGACTCTTCTTTTGGTGTGTCTCCAATTAAAACATGGGAGGAAGAAGATGTAGAGGAAACAGTGGTATCTGCTTCCTCTTCCTCCTTGAGACCCTGCACACCCATGAGCACCTGTGTACTACTCTGGCCTGGCTGGCCTTCCTCTAGATTGCTGTCTTGGCTCCTCTGACCATGGGGCATCATGACGTTCTGTGCAGCCAGCAAGAGCTTGTTGTTGGACTCAGATGCCTAAAAGAGAGAGGGAGGTTGTTAGTGTTACTAGTGTTCTCAGCTGAGAACAACACACTTGTTGCCTCTCATAAAGGTCTATTTCCAGGTCTTTACTTTGGGAAATCTTCTAGGCTTTCACAGATTCCTGCGTGTTGACAGCCCTGTCCCCATGATCCCATAAAATGATCTGAGACTACTCCTAAGGCTCAGGTGAACTTCAGGGAAGAAGTTACAGACTATTAGAGCCTCTGTACTATGAGGTTCCATTGCTCTGGGACAGGTGGAAACCTAGGTACACTTCTTGGCATGCACCGGGCCATGACTCTTGGGCTTTGTCTGTTTTGTCACCTGATAACACTACCTAAAACAAAAACCTTCACTGCCTGGTTCCTGGAGCTCCTCTAAAAGGCATGGAGGCCCTCAGGTTGCAGACCTCAAGCACAGTCTCTGCATCCCAACCCTCACAAGAGGGATGGGGTGGACTCTGTGAGCTCCACACTGTTCAGAGTGAATGGTCCATTCTTTGCTCACTTAGGGCCGTGAACTATGCTTGAGCAGGGCTTGGACCCCAGCAGTCTGCTAACCTGAGGCAAACTCTGAGAAAAACAATGTCTCCTTCCCTGAGAGGGAACAAAGGTCTGTGAGAGGACACACCTCTAGACAGAGCTGCCTGGGGCAATAACTGGAGGTAAAAAAATTCATTGAGGTCCATGTCCCATAGTACAGGGAACCTGTTCCATCTTTATCTTGATAAATGTTTAGGTCTAGGACTCTACCTGCAATGACTTGGAGCCCCCTTCTAAAAACCACAGCACTGTCACTGTGAGACAATCAAAGAGGAATTGGGGGAAAGCTACTCCACCTACATTCCCTGGGTCTGAGTACCAGTGACAAAAGGGACACTTTGAGGCTAGGATACTGTGTGTTCAGGTGAGTGGATCCTCTCTACCTCCCCGAGATGCTTGACAGACCTCAGGATCCTACTTCTGTCGTCCCGCCACCAGCCCCCTTTACCAAGGCCTTCACACGCTGAGATCAATGATGCAGAACTAAGAGCATCCTCAGCCTGCCAGCACTGCCCAGGCTTCCTGGGATGATGGCAAGCACAGGTCTGACGTCAAGGTCACAGACCTGCCTGTGTTCAGGTCAGGAGGACCGTACGTCATCCCTTAGGGTCTTCATCCTGACTCTTGACAGACCCTGGGACATCTGTGTGTCTTATTAGATGGAGTCTCCTATGCCATCCTGCAGAAACTAACTGAGATCAAGTCCCTCTCCTCTGTGAGATCTCCAGGATTCTCAAAAGAAGTGAAAATCCACCTATCCTATCACCTCTGCATGGGGACTTCTGTGCTGACATCTACACCTGTGCCCATCTCTCCTGTGATGCAGGACCCCTGTTATTCTGTAAGTGTAGATTTCCTCAAAAGTCCATAGGGATCATAGGCAGGACATTTGGAAGGAAATTGGATTATGAGAGTTTAGATCTGCCTTGGTCTCAGGAAGTGGGGCCTTGTTCAAAGAGAAGTGTTCCCGTGGGTATGCCACGGCAGGTTATATCTTTCTTCCTGACTCCTCCTTTACCCTTTGCTGTCTGAATGACTTGTGGTGAGCAGCTTTCCACCTAGCAAGCCCTTCCACTCTGTTGTTCTGCATTAGAGTTGGGTGAGTATGGACTGAAACCTCATAAATTGTGAGCTCAAATCAACTTTTCTTCCATTAAACTGCAAATGTGATGTATTGTGTCTCAGCAATGAGAACATAAGTAAAGTAGCCCTATGTGCTTCTGTATTCTCACCTTCCTCCAATCAGTGTCTCCCCATCCTTAGCCCCTGAGCTACCAAGATGAGCTGATCTGGCCCTCATAGTAATCTCCTTGAAGACTCCCTTCCTGCTCATTGGGGAGTATGCCAGTTATAGGCTCCAAGGGCTGACCTAGGGAACAGGAAGACTATGGGATTTGTTGTTTCTGGGCTGCAGACACCCTTAGGCCTCAGGAAGGGTTCATACCTTCATTCTCTCAACTCTTGGGGTCCTCCATTTAGTAACCATATGGAGCACCTTCTAATGACTTGTGGTCAGCTCTTGGAGAAAAGTCCCTTACCTCTGTGTGTTCTCCCAGCTACAACCACACAGTAGACTTGTGAGTAGTTAATATAGAGTCACCAGCACAGGAAATGCAGGCTGACAACAGAGGAAAATAGGCACTGTGGTGTCCCTTTGTTTATAGGTATGCATTACCTTCAAACTGTCTGTGCTGGAAAATCAGAGTAATGAGCAATCACAATTCAACTTCTTCAAGATTAAGAATCCAGACTCTGAAAAACTGTAACTGAGAGAAAAATGAAGAGAAATAAGGAGTAGGTTCCCCAGCAATCCTGAACAATCTGACATGAAACTTGAAAACTGAAGAGAGTTCTGCAAACATTATCCAGAGCAATTAGACAAGAAAAAATAATAAAACAAATAAGGATAATAAAGACAGAAGTAATCATTATTTGCTGATGACATGATACTCTACATAGAAGACCCCAAGCATGCCACCAAAATACTTCTATAATTATTAACAAAATTTGGGGACATAGCAGAGTACAAAATCAACACTCAAAAATCAATAACTTTCCTACATGAAAAGTAAACTTACTGAGAAAGAAATTAGAGAAAACACACCTTTCACAATAGCCTCAAGAAAACTGAAATTCTTAGGAATTGACCTGACTAAGGCAGTGAAAGAACTGTACACTGAAAATTACAGGGCCAGGGATACAGCTCAGTGGCATAATTGCCTGCCTGGCAAGCCTGAGGTCATGAGTTCGATTCCCTGTACAAATAAAAAAAGAAAAGAAAAGAAAAGAAAAAGAAAATTACAGTACTCTGAAGAAGATCAAAGAGAGTATCAGACAATAGAATGATATTCCCTTTTCTTGATTAGGCAGAGGCAATATAGTGAAAATGGCCATACTTTCAGAACTTTTATAAAGATTTAATGTAATTCCAATGAAAATTCCCATAGCACAACTCACAGAACTAGAGAAAACAATCTTAAAATTCATTTCATACCAGAATAGACGTATTATAGCAAAAGCAATCCCGGGCAACCATGGCAAGGCAGGGAGCATCACAATCCCTAATTTGAAGTTATACTATAAATCTATGATGATAAAAACAGCACAGTACTGTCAAATAAATAGATGCAAGGATCAAAGGAACAGAACAGAAGATGGAGAAACAACTGTAAACACACAGAGCTATCTTATCTTTAAGAAAGGGCCCAAGGATATCTACTGGAAGCCTCTTTAATAAATGTTGTTGGAAAACCTCGCTTTCCACATGCTTTGAACAGCCCATTGGCTCATGCTTTTAATACAAAAAAAAAAAAAAAAAAAAACTACAGGGATTTTGAAGGACAGACTACATTCTGGGGCAGGAAACAAATAAGTATGGACTTTCACCCTGGTTCATGGCTCTTGGGAAAGAGATTAAAATTGTGAAAACTAAATGAAACCTGGAGACTTCAGGAGGTCCCAGGGAGAAAAGGCTGTGGTTCAATGTACCAGAAATTTCTCTGATCTTCAGGGACTGTGTGGAGTTCTGGTCCCACAGAATCCTTACACAGAAAACAGCAGGAGACTGACCCCTGTGCAGGTGTCAGCCATATCTTTGGAGAGTGGGCATGGGCTTGGGTTCCATTCCAGGAAATCATACAGTATTTGAATCTGTGCCTCTGAACAGCCACAGGACAGATTCACTTCAGGGTCCTGAGTGTTACCCTCCCACAGTGACTGGATGAGAGATACTCTCAGGAATCAGCTGTGGACAGGGAACACACTAGAAACAGAAGCTCTGAAAGTTTTCAGTTCAAATGGGAAGGGAGAGGCTGGGGATTTAGCTCAGCGGCAAAGCGCCTGCCTGGCAAGCACAAGGTCGTGAGTTCGGTTCCCGGTACCAGAGAAAAAACCAAAAAAAAAAAAAAAACCAAAAAAAAAAAAAAAGGGAAGGGAACAGGCTTTGCCCTGGTAGCAGAGATCAGGCCTGAGATCAAGCCAACTAGAATGAGTTGCTCTGGATTTGAAAATCTAGGCAATATTTGAGCCCTTGCAGATACTAAAAAAATACAAAGCAGAAATAAATTGAAGAGCTGATTTATAAAAAAAATAAACAAAATTGCCAAACCCCTACATATTCCTATTAAAACAAGGAAAAAATACACCCAAATGTAAACAATTAGAAATGATAAAGGTACAACTTCAATGAACTCTATGGAAACCCTGAAAATCATTTGAAACTACATTAAAAACCTAATAAGATGGTAAATTCAGAAGAAATGTATAAATTCCTCAATATATATGAAATCTCAAAAATGAAGTGACATATAAAATTGGTCATTAGAGAGATGTAAATTAAAACAACACTGAGATTCCATCTCACCCCAATAAGAATGGCTATCATCAAGAAATCATCCAACAACAAATGATGGAGGGGCTACGGGGAAAAAGGAACACTTCTCCACTATTGGTAGGAGTGCAGACTGGTGCAACCACTATGGAAATCAGTGCAGAGATTCTTCAAAAAACTAGGGTTAGCAGTCTCATTTAATACAGCTATTCCCCTCATGGGTATTTTCCCAGAAAATTTAAAAATATCATACCACAGTGATATATGTGCACCCATGTTTATAGAAGCACAATTTGGCATAGGTAAATCTTAGAAAGAATCCAAATGCCCATTAACTAAGGAATGGATAAAAAAAATGTATTTTTATACAATAGAGTACTCTCAGCTATCAAGAAGGATAAACTTAAGGCATTTATAGGAAAATGGATGCAACTTGAGACCATAATCATAAGTGAAATAAATCAGACTCACATGTGTAAACATCATATTGTCTCCACAGTATAAGAAACTAAAACAGTAAACAAGATCCAAAATGTACAATTGATATTGTGAAATGGGAAGAAACTGTTCAAAGG